GAATTAATACAAAAGAGAAACTCTATGACAGAAAGTAGTAATGAAACGTTTGCAGAGTCGGGAGATGTTTTAGACTGGACAGAAGAAGATACTTACAAATTTCGTCTTACTTCTTTTAAAGATGATTTGAAATATTGGTTTCAGCACGGTTTGTATGCATAGGTGTATACAACTTCTTTGATTCAACGAACGTGTTTTAACTGACTTTGCTGTTTTAATATTGAAACTTTGTATTTAGAAAATGTAATATATCCGGCAATATATCGCAATACATTGATCTCGTGGTTAGATGATCTGGAAGATTTAAGTATTTCTCGACCTGCCAAAAGAGTGCCTTGGGCAATTCCTACTCCTTCTGATGAATCTCATACAATATATGTATGGTTGGATGCATTGGTAAATTATTTAACTGCAGTGGGATATCCAGATAATTCGTTTAAAAAATTTTGGCCACCAACTGCACAAGTAAATGTCTTTATTTTATTCAAATATAGAATAACATTTAAAATTGAAGAAATCTATGTGAAAATCTAAAATTATTTACAAACATAGGTGATAGGAAAAGATATACTGAAATTTCATGGCATATATTGGCCAGCATTTTTAATGGCTGTTGGTCTTGAACCACCGAAACAACTTTTGTGTCATGGGCATTGGACTATTGAAGATAGCAAAATGTCAAAATCTAAAGGAAACGTAATTTCACCCTTTACAACTGCAAAAGACTTTACAGCAGATGGTTTAAGGTACTTTCTTTTGCGAGAAGCAGTGCTGCATGCAGATGCAAGTAAGGAAAATAATATGCAATATTATATTTAAAAGCAGCGATCTTCGTTTTGATATCTAAACAGTTTATTTCTGTTTTGTAGATTTCAGCACGCAAAAAGTTCAAAGAATATTAAATGCTGAACTTGCCGATACACTAGGAAATTTAATTAATCGATGTTTGGGTAATACTATTAATCCAGGAGGGATAATATATAACGCGGCCGAATATAAAACCATTTTAAGATCCAAGATAGCTCTAGAAAACATGAAAGCTTTGGAAGAATTGGGAGAAAAAGCTAAGAAACATTACGAGGAAAATCATTTGCATCATGTAGTAGATGCTGCGATGAATACATTACGTATTACTAATCAAATGTTTGATCGTCATCAACCATGGCTTTTAAAAAAATCTGAACATTTCGACTCTGCAAAAGAACTAGAGTCTGTGATATCTTTATGTTTCGAAAATATACGAGTGGCTGCTCTAGTATTATATCCTATTTTACCTAGATTAAGTTCCGATCTTCTTGATTTTCTTCAAATTCCACAAGTAAATCGCACTTGGGAAGATACAAAACCGCTTCATGTAACGGGTACATCGATCGAAAGAACACCCATCTTGTCAAAGAAGGTATTTTTTAGAAAAATAAAAAATTAAGAAAAGGCTGAGTACGTAAATTATTAATACTAAATAGGTGTGTGTGTGTTGGTATAGGATAATAAGGTTGTAGTAAAACATTTCAAATTTAATACTCGCGTGGAAGTCTTATGCTAATATATTTACAGAGAACGGTCATTCAGTTATATCATTAGTATACATCAACATCGTGCACGTGTCATTCCGACAGGAGAAATATAGTTGTGATTTTTTGTTACGTTGTTTTATCTTTAACTTTCGTTTTCCTCTCGTCGGAATACAGTACACTTTGCATATCGCTGATATAGATGTATGGAAGAGGCTCGACGAGCGTCAGTTTCGTTTCGCGAGGATTTCTCCTTCGTTTGGATAAATGACGCAGATTTGAGTAAGATTCGACGGGTTGCACAACGCTCTTTTGCGACACGTTAGCACCTAAACGAAACATCGTTTACAATGCAAAAACATGTGTAACGCGTGTTGGTGTCCCGTCAAATAGAAAAATAAATAAATGACTATTTACAAGATGGAAAATGAATCTGAGCGGGTTCCACCGCGATCCTATCATTAATTACAATTGCTTTATGAGAATGTATTCTAAATACTATACTCGAATTTTTCTACCCACGAATTTTGCTGTTTTTTTTTTTTTGTGTTTTTTCCTTTCCTTAGTTTTAAATTGATATCTTCCTGTTCGATTTCTAGACAGTTCCCCCGTTTATCTTTCCTTTTATTGTAAGAGTGAATTATGTCTCATGGATATGTTTTGAACTACCTTCTGGTGATTGTCTTTACGTTAATTTTCTTTTTTACCGTCTATTTGTATCGACAAGTTCTGTCCCCTTTTCATCGTTCACGGATAAAAAATATTGGATAAAAAAATTTACATCGTAACTTTCGCTGTTTGTGCAACTTCTCTACAGCGTGGAGTAATTTAAATCTTTTTGGCGCCAAAATATAGGAAAAGAAGAGAGAAATGGACAGAGAGAGAGAGAGAGAGAGAGAGAGAGAGAGATTTTTGAACTTTTCCTAACACGGATGCATTTGATATGTAAGATAGCTATTGCTTACGATGGTAATTCTCTTAAATATAAGTTTTTTCATCTTCGTTTAATTCGGATTGCGTTGCTTTTGTTTCGATACACACGATATAGACGATAAATACGAAGAATCCTCTGAGAAGAAAAGTTCAAAATCATTCTCAACCTCTCGACAGAATTTTGTACATTTTCCTGATCGTATCTGCCTGAATGATGAAATGGTAAGCTTTGTCGTTCAAGTCAGCGATGACGATTACGGTTATGTTTAAAATTTTTGTACGATCCATCTACAGAGACCTTGAAAAATTCAGCGCGTGACATTTGTTCGCGAGACGCTCCTCGATTCGATCGCAGAAATATTCGCAGAGTATTTTCGGATCCAGAACGCACAGTGTTTACACACACAAAATTTAACGACAGGAAGGACGAAATGTTTTCGAGTTTTGTCCGCGGTTTTATTTACGTGTTAAATGGTTGAGTGTAAGCTGCATAAGATCGATAACCACGATGAAAAATTGGGAAGCGCATTCGGTCACGAGATTTACGGAAGGCGAGACGCACGCCCTGACGTCTACGAGCGCAAATAGCGTTCGATAGGAAGATCGATAAATCGAGCGAATACTCGAGTCGAATTATATCGCGCTGACGATAGTATCGCGGTGTCTTTGCGCCATTATTCCGACCTGACAACTGTCCGCGCTCGATCTTGGACTAATATTACATTCGATCATAGACCCGTTTCGTTTCTGCACGACCACGGATCGAAATTCTCCACACTCGCTGGTCGACGGCTGATTTCCTCGGGCACGTGCACCCTTCGTGAGGATTCTCTTGAATGCTTCTCGGAATTCTGTGTTGAAGATGCTGTAGATGATCGGATTGAAGGCCGAGTTACTGTAGCCGAGCCAAGTGAGTACCTGTTACACAAAAATTTTGATTTCCTTTCGTACTTTAAAGATATTTTTCGATGCAGCAGGTATTATCTAATTTCGTATTGTTTAATGGCGTCGTTTACGAGATAATGGCGGGAAAGGGGATTATTCGAACGACTGGTAAAGTAAAGTGTTTTTCAATGAAATAAGAAAGAAATGTTCGTACTTGGAACGCTCGGACTGATATGCAGGTCTTGCAATATGCAGCGACGATATTTACGCAGAAAAAGGGTACCCAGCATATTAAGAAGACGCCCATAATTACACCGACTGTAATGGCGGCTTTATGATCGGACACATGATAAGGACTCGTCGGCTTCGTTTTTGTTTGTGGTTTTGGCGGTTTGTTGCGAGTGCTTTTCGAGCGAAAACTTTTGGCCATTGAGGTGTCCGGCAGTTTCGTTACTGCACGGATGCTTTTTACGTGTTTCTGTGCGTAGCAATAGAGCCTGGAAAAAAGCATCAAGTGTGTCCGTTTAGAAGGTAGGTTTGCTCCTAAGAGAGAATTATCTTATCTGTCTAATTGAAGAAATAGTTTCTTTTAAAATTACTTGCAATTCACCTGCAATAAATTCCCAGCATTACGATGCAGGGCACGTAAAAAGATATAGAGGAGGAAACTACCGCATAGGTGGGTGTAAGGTCCAAGGCGCACGTAGGGTGTTTCTGAAAGATAAAACGATCGGTATGGGGGACGGCTCTTTCTCCACATATCGATATCAACAATAATACATTATACAAAGAAAATAAAGAATAAATACATATGCAAGGGAAGTAGGTAAGTACACACCTCTTTGCCATCGACGTAAATTACGGGTTCGTCTGCTCGATGAAGGCCTAGGCTGATCGGCACGAAGGATATGAGTCCTGCGAGCAACCAGACAATAGCGATTCCAGCAAACGCGACTCTTCTCGTCACCCAGCGGCCGTATCTGATCGTAAAACGGTATGGAACGTTATTTTCGGACGAGCCAAAGATAAAAATGATAGACTTGCCTGAGAGGATCCTTTATATGAATGTAACGATCGAGGGAGATTGCGCAAAGGTTGAGAATAGAGGCAGTGCTGCACATAACGTCAAAGGCGATCCAGGTGTCGCAGAATCGTGGACCAAACACCCAATAGCCGAGGAGATCGTTTACCCCGGCGAATGTCATAACCAGACAACCGACGAACAGGTCGGCGATCGCCAGGGAGGCGAGGAATAAGTTTCCTATCCTCCGTAAACCGCGGTCCGTGTAAATCGCCACGCAGACTAGAATGTTGCCAGCGACGGATAAAAATATCAGGATCAGGAAGAGAAATCCTGAAAGAAATGTTGGAACGAACTGGACTAGTGGAGAATCGATCGAGTTTGTTCAATTAGTATCACTCACCCCTCGAACAACTCTGATCGGAGATACATAATCTCTACATCCAACGCATGCTGATATTAAAAGGTTCTTTTTTTTCTTTTTTCTTTTTTCTTTTTCATTGTGCAATACAATAACTATGAAATGCGTGCGTAAATAGATTAGATAATGTTCGAGTTAAAGGAGAGAAACGAGCAGGGAAGATGAATGCATTATTACAGCAGGGCAAAGAATACGAAGCAGGAAATATCGGTGTGCTTTCTCCAAGAAAATGGAATATTTAATATCAGGATAAACAAGCAAATTGTTTAGTACAGTACATATCCATATACCGGTGCATAGGGGAATATGGAAAGGACGAAGAAAGGAGGAAAGATATGTAGAACGGAGGACGAAACAGGAAGAGAACAGAGAAGGGATATAGCGAGCTTAGATAAAAGTTTTCGAATGAAGGGCCTCTCCCAGAGGGTTGTCTTCGAGGGGCGAGTCGCGATCGATCAAATGGGAAGTTTAGCGAACCAACTAGAAGCACCGACAACAGTGAGAAACTGTCTTCAGGCAGATCTTCTTCCCCGTCTGTCAGGTTATTCTGTAAACAGACGAACAGATTTTTTACAATATGTATCATTAAGAAGAAACGTGTGAGATGATCATCTTTGTCGTTTCTAATACGAGTTTCTATACTGTGTATATTCTTTCTCCTTTTTTTCCCTTGGGAATAGAGAAAGCCTGTTGGCCATCTAGATATGTACCACCACGGGTTTCCCACTGAGAATAGGGACACGGTGTAACGTGCTTCTATGTATTTTCTCCTGATATTTTCCCCGATATTTCACGCCAAAGCTGCAGATACACCGGGAATACTCTTGAGATTCGTATTCACGGAAAATCGATACTACAGACGGACCAAGATGACGTTGGGTTTACAGACTCTTTACTTCTGCTTGAACGCGTTGTCTGTCAACCCGTTCTCTATCCCATCTCGAAGACACGTAAAAATATCGCGAGATGAAGGGTAATACTAGCGTGAAGCAGCTTGTGCCACGTATCTTTCTATGAATAGTCTGAAACTGTTACTATTCCTATTCCTATTCCTATTCCTATTACACTTACTTACATGCTAATCCTTTTCCAATATTTTTACTACACGGTTGTTCGTACGATATTCACAGATCGTGTTTATCGTCGATTTTCAAAGAAGAAACGAAATAAAGAAAAATACTCGAAATACTTTTTCCTCAAAAGTCACGGTACCCGGTTTCACTTTTAAGGTAAAGGTCACTTTTTTCTCGTTGGGAAAAACCTCGGTGCACCGTTTGCCGGTGCATTGATTTTCTGAACGTAGTGCAACATATGTATGTAGAGTACCCGCGTCTCCTTCGTGAACGTATTACTTAATTAGAAAATTCAAATCAACAAAGCGACTAGTCGTTTGCTACTTTTCCTAGAAAATTCAATTGTATTTGTAACGCTCGCGAAGAAATTCCGGTACAGCCGAGAGATAACGATGCAGCCTCTCGATTAATGACGTTCCGCTATTCCACGTTCGTACGGATCTTCCATCGTGTAGTTATCAAAGAAAGGAAGGATTCGTTTAACAGGAGGGAAAGGTGTCTCGTAAATATCAATGTTTTTTCGACAAGCTGTAAGAATCCTCCCTTTTCTTCCCGCTCGCTGCGATCTACGCTCCATTTATTCCGACGACGTACATATACACACCGCTATGCCATACCATACGCGTTGCTACGAAATAAAAGATCCATTCGTTTCCAGGCGGCGACGTATAAACGCGTAAGGTATGTACACATATGTATGCGGTAGAAGAAAGAAAAGAAAGAGAGGAAAGAGAGGATATAATTTACGATTCGTTCTCCTTCGTTCTCCTTTAGTCTCGAGGGACTAATTGCTCTTCCGGTTGAATTTGCAACATCGAAGTTGGCCTTCGCTAGTTACGAACCCCATCCCCGTTCGAGCAAATAACCTGAGAGGGTATCTCGACGTGTGGAATCTTTTCTTTCGATGAAATCGAAGGGTTGATTCGAGAACGTTTAAATTGAGAAGGATGTTTGTTGGCTGGTATCGAAATACCTTTCTTTTCACCCCTTTCGCAAATTTATCTTCCCTTTTCACTCGTCCTCGCGATCATACCGAGAGCTTGAAAGTTTTCCAAGTTGTTGTGGAAGTTGAGAAGGACTTAAGTTCGCTCGACGTCGACCATTAACGATACATTTAACGCGAAACGCTAAATGCTCTCTCCGTTAGAGGTACTCTGGAAGTTTGTCGTTTTTAACGCTTTTATTTTATCTAAAACAGCCCGTTATCGCGAGTTGCGCGACCGTACTCGTTTGGCTCCAGCGAGGAAGCGCAAAAGTGGTGTAGCTTAATGAAAAACACGCCGTCGTTGCTGACAATGATGAATCTCTCGTTGAACACCGTTCGTTTCTGAATTGCCACGGTTATATGGGAAAAATCGGGGAGATTTTCACGTTTCGTCGAGTGTTAGGACGGCTTTAGGCTGTCGTTGTATGATTTTCGGCATGTAGGTGCTGGAAAGTTTGGCGGGTTAGTGTAAATTACGGAGTCCCCGAGCGATAATCGCACCTGTTGGCTGGAAGGTTGGTCGGGAATCAATTTGCAGAAGTTCTTGGCTCCGCGCGGCGCAGCGTGCTCATGCGAAAGGAGAAGCGGCGACTCGCCGATATCTCGTTAACCCGAACCGATTTCACGGATTAAACGGTCGGATCATTTTGCACCAAATGGGAAGTGCAATCAAACGCGACTTTGTCCGGATTTTCTCGATGAATAGCTCGCTCAAACTTTCCTCGAGTTCATGCCGCTCCGATAGTTGAACCTCCGTTGGTCAAAGTAAATCGAATATTTGCTTCATTTTTCATTTACAATCTATATAAAAAAAAAAAGAATATTCTTTTATCGAGGAATAAAATTGCACCGGTAGTGGAACAGAAAATATGTTCCGTTTCCCTGAGCCTGGGATATAGAACAGAGGCTTACGGTGCAATAAATCTCGGCGCGATCATAATACCTCCTATTCCCGCGTAAATTTATATTCGATATTTCGCTATTGCTCGCGGCAAGCGACAAGTATTGTATAATAGTATAGCACGTGCTACCATTGTTTCTTCGTTACAATAGGTGTGAACGTAACACAGAGCCGGGCACGGGAGAATCTTTTAGAGCAAAAAGCTGTGCATTTCGGTTGATAAGCCGCTCTCTCGTGTATCGCGTTGCTTTCGGAATTCGAATATCGTCGGATATTGAACACGGCTGACAAGCGGTATTTTGTTTTTCCCAAAAACCTGTACCCATATACAGAGTGTCATCGTAGCGAGAAGCGGAAAGCGGAAATGCGATACGGGCGTCGGAGAGGGAATTTTGGAAATTCACGCGACGTGGTCCACGTCGTCGTACATATGTATTTCAGTTCGGGACGATTGTCGAGGAAATTATCCATCGTTTTTTCTTTTCTCTTCGCCACAGATTCGATACCTTATTCAATACCCGATTTCGGATTCGTCTCTCGGTAAACTTCGTTTATGTAATAAAGCTTCAACGCTCTAATTCTGCGGAATGAAATATGTTTAAAGTAATGCACCGGCGCCGCTTCCAATTAAGTTTGCCCGTGTTTAATGAAAACACGTTTTCGGCTTCTGTAACAGCTAACAGGTCCATTTTCCGCGTATTATTCGCGCATAAAACGTGCCCCCTCTCGTCGAAAGACCGTGGAACAGATTATGTATCTCGGTTAACCGTTTCTCGTATTTGAATTTTCGAATTTGCTCCTTCGTTCGACCGTACTTCTGCCCGCGGCTTAAAGCCTCCGGTGTAGAATTTATTTGAAATCTCTTCTTGACCATCGTCCAATCTCGTGTCTCGGCAGAATTTTGTCTGGTGCGAGCGGTGTGATATCAGCCAGCTATTGTATTCAATAACGTGGATTCCGCTTGGAGAATTCGTAAGGGCGCATGTCCGCGCTAATTGGAGCATTAATGGTCTCGTTCGTCACGACTATGGTGCAGCTGCTATAACAACATGGTGGTGATATCACTGACCATCAAGGACCACCAAGTACTGTCTAATAGAATTTAAGAGGAGTGAAACAAAAGGTTCTTCGAAAGGTTTCAAAATGGGCTGGTGTGGATAATAAAGGAGGATTTATTCTTATTACGCGGTAGATATTTTCCAATTAATTCCAAAAAGGATTATCGTACGGTTATTTTAACGGTAAGTTTCAATTCGCCGAAGGATTTCAATATAATTCTACGCCTTCCTCTATTTTTTCTTCTCTTTAATCGAATGAAATGTTCCCCGTGTGCGTGCGTATTCCTATTGTTACTTCCCGGAAGACAACGATTCAGTTTTAGCCCTTAATTTGCATTCCATAGTTGAACATCGCGCGGTGATATCGTCGAATCCAGTGAAATATTCATAAACCG